AATGAACTTTTTTTTTTTTTTTTTTTTTAATGGTTGAATCATCTACATTTGCAATATATGTGTTCAGTGCCTGGTAGAATTTAAGTAAATAATTGTATTTAAAAACCCAACGAAACTTTTCAGTTCCTTGGCTTGAACTTCTCTTGCAATGCAGAGCACCTGTGCCTTGCCTGAGGGGGAGGGGGAGAGGGCTTAGAAGCCTTAGGTGTGCTGGGGATCATCTTGCCTGGGATGCGCAGATATGCTGCTTGGTAATGNGGATCATCTTGCCTGGGATGCGCAGATATGCTTGCTTGGTAATGAAGTCGTTTACAAGTGGGCGGGTCTGTCTAAATTGGGCTCTGTCCCTGCTCAGAGTTCACGTTAGGGTCCTTGTAAGCAGAGGTCGGTAAGTGTAAGGGCTACAGGCCAAATCTGCCTGCTGCAGTGTTTTTCTCCTCCTAAAGTTTAGGAGCTAGGAATGGTTTGTACATTTTCAAATGGTTGGAAAACAAAATCAAAAGAATATTTCACATGTGAAAATTATATGGAAATCAAATTTCAGTGGCCATATTAAAGTTTTATTGGAGCACAGCCACACTTATTCCTGTTGTCCGCGTCGCATTCTTACTGTGCATGGCTGCTTTCACAGCTAGTGACAGGGTTGAGTAGTTGCAGAGTTGAGACAGGTGTATAGCTTTCAGAGTCTGAAATATTTACTATGTAACTCTGTACAGCAAAAGTTGCCAACCAAGGCCAAGCTTTAAAAGTATTGCTTAAATACTCCCTTTTGTGATGGGTGCGTTGTTTAATTTCATTGCCTTTCAGGCCCTGTTTCTGGTGCCCCCTGAACTGGCAGACTTCCCCACCCCACCCCCAAAATAGACTAAATCAATGTGTTGAATTTTTTCATTTCCAAGTTTCACAAAATTTTTTCTTAACTTTTTGGTATCTTTCTCTGTTAGAATCTGGGGTAAACTGGAGATTCTGATTAGCAAAAATTATGTATTTAGTTATTTTAAGTTTAATATAGATAGCCATCTTTCTAGTGACTTCTAGCTGTTCTGTTACTTGAGCTGGTTTGAGGACTATAGTTTTGTTTATTTAGGTAAAGAGAGGGGGTGTTAGAGCATGTCACGGGTTCTTTTCCACAGGCAAGTTGTCATTTAGACAAAGCTAGTTTGGGGGGGGGGTCCCCTTGACTCTTCCCCACTCTGTATTTCTACCTCTTTTGCTAAAACAAACAAAAAACTGATGTTTATTTCATATTACTAGTAAATCAATCATATGTGTCCCATACCTCTTACATGTGTTCCTTTTCTTTCCTTGGCTCCTTCAGTATTTCTTCTCCCCTCTTTTGTTTCTGGTTTTCTTCTCTCTTTAGCACACTTCTTCCTTTCGTTTCCTAGGCCTGACTACGACTTGGGAAGAGAGAGATGTCAGTCAGTTTTCACTGTGCTCCAAATTCCTGTTATGTAGCCATTGATTGCTCTCTTTGGCCCACAAAGGACTCTGTGACTTTCATAAAATACCTTGAGGCAACGCTGATGTGTTGGACTGGAAATGTCCCCATTTATGCTGGAGCAAGCAACACGTCTGTCAGTGAAAGACCCTGTACTTCGAAGTAAGGAAGCAGAAAACTTCCCGTAGAATTCAGGACTGCTTGATGGTGCGTGAGAACGACAGTCTTATGTCACCACTGTATTCCCCAAACAGTTACATCTGCTTTAAAAACACCTTTGGCCTTAAGTAGGAATTCATTTGATATAGTTGTTACATACATTGTTAACCCCATACTTGCAACAAGAAAGATACTATTTTTCTCTTGTAAATTAGTGTCATTCATAGGAGAGCATCCATATAAATAGAGTTGGGAAATTATATTTAGCATGTTAATATACTGCTGCGATGAAATAATTATAGTGGGGTTCCACATGGGCAAATAAGAATGAGATGAGGAACGACTTCTAGATAAAGGAATCTGATGTTAAGTAATCGATTGCCTTCCTGGGAAATATTTTCCATGAAGATCTGAGGTAGTTCCTCATTTAGTAGATAGTAATAGATGGATCAGGAAGCATGTATTGGTCTAGACACTTGGGAGAACACAAGATAAATATACTGCTCTAGAAGCTTACTGTCTTAGTTGGAAAAATAGACACACAGAGAAAAGAATAAAGAGGTTTTACATGTAGTCAAAGTTACAGGGATTCAGAAAAATTAGACATCAACGTAGGATTGCTTGCTTGTAGATGGCATCCTGTCAATGGCCATCTTCTCCCAGTGTCTTCAGTGGGATTCCATCTGCCTATGTCTGTCCTAATCTCTTATGAGTACGCTAGTCATATTGGGTTAGGGACCATCCCAATGACCTCATTTAACCTTAATTATCTCTTTAAAGATCCTATCTCCAAATAAAGTCATTTTTTGGGGAATGGGGGGTTAGGACTTTAACATACAGATTTGGGGGTAGAGGACATACATCAGCCCATAACAGAGTTCTTAAAGAGACTGTAGGCTGTAAACTGGCGAGACCTTGAGGACTGGACTGGTTTAGGGTAAGAGAGGGAGGTCACGTAGGAGGCAGTTGTGGTGGTATAACTAAGCATTATCGTGTAATTTGATGTTTGTGAATAAAGGGAAACTGCTATTTGAGGACAAGGTATTTTAGCTTTGGCCCAGAGCCACTTGTTTTCTTTATCCTCGTGTTTACTGAGAAACTGGCCCTTCCCTTTTGTAGATAGAGCCTTAGTTTTAAGTGAGTCATAAAAGCATTAAAATTTTCTTAAGATATTTCTTCTGTCTCCCCCAAGTGCATAAAATGTGAAATTCAGCAAGATGAAATGTTAGTGTTGTAAACATCTCAGGACAGTTTTGGAGTCTGATTAAAGCAGCATTCTTTATTCTTTATCTGAAAGCTATATGTCTGTCCTGTACATATTTTGTGGACAAATATTTGGCATAATCTTTTTCCCCCAGAAACCTTCCCATTTTGGGAAAAATAAAATATTTAAAAAGTAATGTACATGCTGTGTCATAAAATAATGAAAACTTTTTAAAATGTTGACATTTTAATTGTTTATAGCATTAAAGTAATTCTTCCAAATTTGACCAGCCGAGTTAAAAGGGGAGAAAAGTAAAAGGAGACTTAAGCTCTGGCCCTTTTCTTGCATGTTGTAGTTAAATTTGTTTGGTGTAGGGAATTCATATCTTTACCCTCTTCTTAGTTCTATTTATATCTGTGAAGACAACATTGTTATTTTCTTGTAAATCATTCTACCTCCAGATCTAAGTTGATATAAATAAATGTATGAGAAAGTGAAAAAGGAAACACTTGTAAGAAAGGAAAAAACAGAAACATCAGCCACACACACACACACACACACACACACACACACGAAAGAAAAACAAAATCTTAAGGAAAAACCTACTTAGGCTGTGCTGATGATTTAATGTTGACAGTTTGATGGTTTGAGATACTGTACCATTTACTTTAGTGCTGGTATTTTAAAACTAGTTATAGTAAAATATGTAAGGTAATTATTTCTTTTAGTGATTTTTTTTGATGATAAAAACATGTTTAAAAATACGTATACGGAAGACATAGACTAGCTCAAAGCAGCAAAAAATTATTTTGATATAACAGGCACGTAAGTAGAGATGTTGATCAATAGATTTCACTGACTGCTCTTTTTCTCAGTGAGGAAATGGGGATCTGAGATTATTAAACATCCATATCTTTGGGAGCATCTGTTTGAACCAATGTCTCTGGACTCTGAGGAGGTTAAGTACCATGTGGCACTCAGGACACCAGTGGAAAGTGCATGTGTAAGTCTTGATCTCTCCTCAAAATTATTTGTTACATAGACCTATAGCTAGTTAATTTTGGAATAACTACCTACCTTATGTAATTGGGTGGCCCCTGGCATGCCTTGTTTCAGGGAAATGAATGTAGAAAATGGTCATGGACATTTGTCATTCTGCAGTCATGTGACATCACTAACCTCACAAAACCAGGACGATAGAATCATAAAGTTAAAAAATTATTCTACAGTTTAAAAGGTACCATCTGATCTCTACAAGATACACCCAGCTTTTCTTGAATGTTGCTAGGCCCCCTTAAGGGGTCCTGTTTGCCTAAAGTATCACTGGATAAAGTTCCTATAGCTTTAGGTTAGGTGCCCCCCCAAGTGTCCCCCTGCTACCCTTCCATGGGTATTATTTTAATTAGTCAAGTGTGAAATCTGCTTCTGGGAGACATTTATTTCCTACTGTAGGACCTTGGAAGACCTCAGCTCTAGGATTCAGTGGAGCTGGAATTTTGCCTGTCCTCCCACCCCACCCCTTTCCTACCACGTATGCGGTTTTCCTGGTAGTAGTAGTCATTCTATTCCCATTTAGAGAAGTACAGCACAGAATGCCTCTTCATTCTGATATAATCTGCTGAATATATATGTTGGAACAGGCTAAGTCACAAAATATTTTTAGATCTGTTTTGAGGTAGGAAAACAAAAGAAGAAACAGCCCCTGGGCCTGGATTATTGGTCCCGAGCCAGCTCTATTAAGTTTAGTGGACATCGGTTGGGTGCTGAACTCAGGCCATTCAGGCTCCACCCTTTTCTCAAGTCAAGGGAAGGGATTGTTTAATTATGTTATTGAGGTATACTTTATAATTGACGTGCAATAAGCTGTACATACTGAAAGTGTACAATGTGTTGACTTTTGGCCTGTGGGAAACCATCTCCACACTCAAGACAGTGAACATAAAGTTTCCTTATGCCCTGTGTAATGCTCTCCAGCCTCCCCTCCTACCTGTCTCCCATCTCCAAGTAATCACTGGTTTGCTTTCTGTCCCAATAGGTTAGTTCACATTCTGTAGAGCTTTAGGTGAAGGGAATAATGCAGGGTGTTCTCTCTTTTTGTTCAGCTTCTTTCACTCTGTATTTTGAGATCTTTCCATGTTGCCCGTATTCATAACTTACTATTTATTGATGAGTACTAAACCATTGTATGACCATATCCTTCAGGAGTTTTTGAAATAGTTTAGGATTCTCTTGCGCTTTTTTGCCCATTGTCTTGTAGAGTATTTGTTCTTGGTTTCAGGGGTGTGTGTCGGACTTTTGTGTTCGACAGTAATTCTAAACATAAAATTTAAGTGCCCTATTTAATGTTACCTGATGTTTCAGACTGTGTAAGTCGTATTTTTTAACAATCCTACTGGTAATTGTAAAATGAAGAGATTTAAAATTTTCTAATCTTTAACGATATCAGGTGATTAAGTTAAAAAAGCCATGTGAGTACTGAAGCTTTCCACACGCTCTTGTATCCTATCTTGTGAAGAGCATGAGTATAGCATGGTCAGTTTCATTAGTGAGCCTTAAGCTTTTTACCAGACTGCTTGACTAATGCTCCTGACTCTCTTGTTTTTTTGCATTTCTTTATTTTTGATTGATTTATCTGTCAATGCTTGTAACAAATTTATGTGACAGTCATATAGTGAATTGATTAACAAAGGAGTAATTTGGTGCCTGAATTTTCCAAATAATTGTCATGCAGCATATGTTACAACTAAGAGCATCAAACATACCAAGAATCGAAGCAGAGATAATCATTATATTATGAAAACACAATGTCCAGACTTTTTGGGTCATTTTGAACATTTATATGTCTCTCTACTCTCTGATCACTTAATTGAAATTGTGGCAAAAATGAAAAACAACACAATTTCAGGCAGATGTGCTGTCTGGATTATTAAAAAAGTAAAAGTTGGTTTATAATCTTATTAACACTTAGTCCTTTGAGTAGCATAGTAAAATACAGTTAATGAATGCAGTTAAATAGTAGATGAGTTAATTAAGAAGCAAATAGTCATGTTTATTGAAAGAGAGTAAGACCTTTTAAAATGTTTTCAGAGAGAAAATGCTGCCCAGATGGCTCTAGTGAGTCCTATGGAATTGCATATGGTAACTAAATAGTGTAGCCTGTTATATTTATCCATGAATCAGTAATCAGGGGATTGAATTGGTCATGCTTATTTATGGCTAAGGTTCATGTTCAGGTAGGCTCATATTAATTTGGTTTCCTTATATAATTTTTTTTGTATCTGAACTCCTTGGAATCTTGCGAGCATGCTCTAAACTGTCATCCCTTTTTGCTGATTTTTTTTTGGTTTTGCATCAAAGGTGGTCCAGATTTTATTATATCATTTCTTGTCTGTGAATGTCTACACTTTGTTCAAGTCTTTCTACTGAATTCATTCTTGTCAGAGAAACAAAGTTGTATGGAATATCAGGCAAAAACAAAGATTTGGATTTCAATGGATCCCTCATGTTATGGCAGCAAAATAGCTATACATCAGCATTGTCTTCTCCTCTCCTCCCCTTCTATTTTCTCTTCAGTTACACGAAAAATCAACCACAGAAATGCAAAGTTACCTGTTAAGTATGTAATGCTGAACTATGGCATAAAAATTAACGGACAGATACTATAACTGCAGGTATAGTAAACATTTAAGTTCTTTCTAAAAATAACAACTTAGAAGTTGGCCTAAACTCTGGATTCATCAGTTTCCACATGGCTGTGCCTGGTCTGTAATTTCTCATGTGTAGTTCACATTTTATTTATTTTTTATTTTTATTGTGGACACTATTACAGATGTCCCCGTTTCTCCCTCCTTTGCCTCAGTGTATTCTCAGCAATGTAGACTACCCAACTGACAAGATTATCAGCTGATTTAGATAGTGACTGCCTCATTGCAGACAGAGGTATGCAGGGTTTTCTCTGGTAATTCTTAAGTACAGATTATGAAAAATTCTGCTTTCATTATTGTGGACAGATTTTATTTTCTTCTTGAGTATGTGCATATTTATTCAACAGAAGGTCCAAAGGTGAATGTTTTGATTTGGTATGGAGGTGGATAAGAGAGGATTATGGCCGATTTTGTATTTTTTAGATAAAGTAATCTCCTCCATATATATATATGTGTGTGTGTGTGTGTGTGTACACATATACACACACACATACTTTATTTCATCTTGGAACTTGCTGGTGTGTTTTTGATTCCACTAGGATTTTTAATTTATCTTACAGGTAATTGTGTGAAGTCTATTTAAGATATTTTATCTTCTCCTATATTTAATTTGACCTTATTAAGGTTATCATCCATAAGTAATTTGTTTTCATGTTGGTATAAGAACCAAAGTGATGTCAAGTGAGGCTTATTTAGCATCAGCTAAATAAATAGTAACACTGTTCCTGGCTTAGTGTATTGAGTGCTTTATGAATGTGATCCTTAGTGTGATCAGGCATGAAATGTCTTTATTTCATATTGATTCTGCCACTGAAATAATTCTAAAATGTAACACATCGTTTTGAATGTTCATGTTGGCCCGCATTCTAACCCCAGTTCTCCCCTCCTGTTCACATCCGCCTTCTTCCCGGTAAATCAAATCCGCTTTAACTTCGGCAGTGCCTGGGCACCAGTGATTCCCTTCTTTTACATTTCCAGATTATTGTCTCCTTAGCTCCACAGATGTGAGTGATTCCCTTTTTAACAAATATTTATTGAGTGCCTCCTCTGGGCCAGCCACATTTTACTGATGCCGAGGATATAGCCCTGTGAGAGAAAAAAAGAACTACCACCAACAAAACAACAAAAATTACTACCCTCATGGAACTTAAATTCTTATAATTCCTATTTTCCAAAGGCATTTCAAGCTCAGTATGTCGGAAAGTAATGCATTTCCACTCTTTCCTCTCAAAACAGATGACATTTCTATTTCTGCCTTTGTTCTTTAAGCTAAGGATGTGCCATTGTTTCTAGTTTCCTGGATTAGAAACATTGAGAGTTGACCTCTGTTGCTGTCCCTCCTTCATTCTGCCTTCCCCCAACACAGTTCTAGTGGTCATTATATCTTTCTGATTCCCTCTAATGAGTGTATCTCTTTTCTTTTTCCTTGCTATTGCTTTAAGCTAAGCTTACATTATTTTTTTTTGATTGGGCTGTTTTAACAGCCTGGCATCTGGTTGTACTATCATTAGTTATTTTCTCTCTTAGGTGAATTATTTGCCCTTTTGCTAGAATTGTGTTTCCAGAAAATAAATTTTAGTAATCCCCCCTCCACTGCCCACTGTCTCTGCAGACTCTGCCTGCCTGCAGGGCAAAGTCCCAGTGAGGCCACAGAAACATTGCTTTTCTAGCTCCTGTCTAGTTTGGTAGCCTAGTACTGTAGAACCATGGTCATTAAATTATCTGTGTTCTTTATTGTTTCATTACCTTAGCAGACATCTTTCCCTTAGCAAGAGATACCTTTACCTCTTCTGGCTCTTCCCTCCACTCTCCTAGCTGGTTTATCCTGCAGGGTGATTCACATGTCGCCCTCCAAATTCTTTCTGCCTCATGGTGAACAGCATCAGATTCCTCTGTACTCGCCCCGAATTTAGTGCACCGCGTTGAAGTGTAATTACTGTTGTCCACTAAATGGAGAGTTCAGAAGTTAGATGCTTGTCCTTGTTTCCTACTTTGCCATATGCTTCAGATATAGAGAGATACAGATTCGGGGCGGGGGTTATAAAATCTGGGATGGTCCTCTTACATAAAAAGTAACAAAATTATGAATTCAAAATTAGATCGAAAGTGCATATTTATTTAAATGAGAGTGGAAAGGTCCTGTGCAAGTATCTTTATGCTAAGTCTGCCTGTGTGCCATGCTGAGGGAAATGTAAGTGCTTAGTTAAAACTTGCTGAAATGATGCAGTGGATTCTCTGAATATGTTATAGAAGTATATTTATATAATTTTTTGCTGTTGATGTTCTTAAAGTTAGGAAA